ATAATAATTCTTTGTTTCATTTATCAGTAGTCACACCAGTGCGATTATTACCTGTCTTACATATTATATGTTTTATCAGTAGTGGCGAGCGATTTTTTGTTTTTTGTTTTTTGCGTTTTGGTATTCATATTATTTTTGTTATTATTATTATTGTATTACACTTTTGGCCTCTTTTTGCCATAATCAACTGTTAATCAAAAATATGTTTGTGTAAAAAAATTGATTTATGCAGCGCGTATTTTTTATTGCTGGCATTTTTCTTTGTTATAGATTTGTTAAAAAATCCCAACAATATTGTATTATTGTACTATTTTACTGATATTTCATTGCGAAACGCTTTTATCAAATGCATACTGAAATACGCGTCTTTAAAAATAGCTTGCTATTGATTTTCAAAGCGAAACAAATTAAACGCTGCAATAGCACAGCGTTGCTTTTGTTATGCATACATCAAACAGCTGAAATACCATTTATAATTAAATGTGACAATAGTCGCTCAATAACTTGCACATATGTATATTCAACACTTGCCTGCTTTCCCGTCTAACATTTCATAGCCCGCATATTTAAAGCCAGCACAAAATGTCAATAAAAAAGTGGATTTTTGTGCCGTATTAATTCATAACAATTGATGATGACACTGACCTGTCACACTACAGCGCACCGCATACCATCCACAAACATACACCGACAAATGTGAATGCTCTTTAACGGTTTATACACCCCACAAAGTATACAATAATGTTATATTATTAATATAGTTTATTGTTAGGTGTCATAGTCTTGTGGATGCTATATTTGTAGGGCTTTGCGTCAAGTCAAAGAAACAGCTGTCATCTTCCACAAACAAATAAGAGGGTTGATTGTTGTTCGCCTGCTTTGTTGCGCTTTGTTTGCCCCTTTATTGAATTGTGCGACACAGCGACAGAGGCAACTTGTTAAAAGGTTGATTGAAGAGCAATGTAATAATAATGGAAAGTATGAGCCACAGCAATATGAGTCAGCTTCATGGTTGATTTATTTACATATGTATGCAGTTATCAAGCACGGTTTTCTCATTTTGTCACGTTTGAGAGTGTTTTTTTTTAGAAGTTTTTGTTTCCCTTAAAACAGTCATGGAAAAACGTTTACGAAATATTGCCATACTTCTCGCAAAATTTTAAGAGAAAAAAGTAACGGTGACTAATCAAAAGTATCAGCTGATTGAAAATTTCGCAACCCAATTGTCTAACGCTACTGCATTACAGTTGTCAGTATACTTGCGCTTCATATTATAATGGACATTTGCTTTACGACTGGCTACTGAAGCAAGTATACTTGAAAAGATAATAAATCTAAGTTTACACTTTTGAGCATCACTGTTTAAGAAAAATTTACGTAGTATTTGAGATAAATTTTCGTAAATTATTCAAATGCTGATCTTGAACAGTTGCCTGAGTTTGACATTTCTGCATACTATAATAAGCGATAGTTATTAAACAAAAAATGGCAACTGGCAACTGAATCGCCGGTGTTCGGCATTCGATAGCCACTGATGATGTATATTTTTATATACGGTTGTCTAACGGGTACCATGCTCGCACTACACAATTTAGGTAGTTCAGAATCGATATTTTTTGAAACCACAACAACATAATAGCGGAATGAAACACATTTGAAAAGGAAAAGAACATAACAAGTATTAAAATGGCGTCTGAATTGTTTGGTGGGATAGTTTTTTTTTGCATTTTCTGAGAAAATTTACCATAATAATGGAAAATTTTTTATACCAACAAAATGTAGAGATTTAAATGAAGACAAAGCCCACTTTTCGACTTTTATGAAAAAGCAGATGTAATTTTTCGTAAAAAAAAATTGTTGTAATATTGTAAAAGATAAAAATAAAATATCAAAAAGCCGGTTTTTGAATTTTTTACATAAATTTTCAGGTCTTTTTTTACCTATTGACAAATACCTCAGAGAGCTTGGTAGACAGATTCTTATACATCCACATTATAGTCCGAACCTGGCACCAAGTGATGGCTACATGTTCTATTCTATGGCGTATGATTTTAATGGTGAAAAATTCGCCTAAAAAATAATGCTATGAAACTGATTGTGCTAGTTTTTTCCCTATAGCGATGAAGGTATCTATGAGAGTGGCATTATGAAATTACCTTCTAATTAATAATAATTAAATTAAATAATATTAACATTATATATAAATACAGGTAACGATCAAAAAACTAGCAAAATTTTGATTTTTTGACAAAATGGCGGTTACACCAAAAAAAAAAACAATTTTTGTGAAAAATTTACAACTCGCAGTGGGTTAAATAATCGAAATTATTATTTCTTAGATGCATTTGTAGCCAGCTGCTTGTCATTTGTGTGTATATTCATGCTTAACTACGGCATTTTGCTACTCATACGGCATACATACAAATATATGTACATATATTTGTTGTATATTTGACAACTCATGCCACTAAACACGTTATCAGCAATTTGTCGTGTGTTGTTGTTCTGCACATTTGCTGTTTTATTCTTATTGGTATTGATTTTAATTAGACTTTGTTTAGCTCTTTGTCGCCGCTGCTGGTTTAATTATTATAACTTTTTTTGTTGTGTGCCTGTTTTGCCTGCTCTTGAAACCAGCTAAGCAATGCCATAAACAATAATAATAAAAAAAGAACATACAACAAAATACAAAAAAAAACAAAAAAAATCGATATCAATAAATATTAGCTTAGCAAGAATGGAAATGGTACAGAAAACAATTGTGGCCAATACATTCCATATTTCAAGCAAACACATTTATTTGATATTTAATTGGTGTTACTTTAAATTTATACATATACAAACACATGTGCAAAATATGAATGAACAATGTCTGAAATTAATTATTTTCAGCTGTAGTTATTTGTGAGTGTAAAGAAATGTGTATGATATGGCAACTATCAATCAATACAAATTTGTTTACTCTTTTTATTATTTTAGTGGTCTTCTTGGAATATTTTTTTTTTGGTTTTTATTAATTTATTGTTTATTTATGCACTCAAAGAACCACAAACTCCGTTTTAATGCGCATATTTGTTTTAGTTATAAATAAATAACTTATATTATCTATATTAGTCATGCTTACGCTACAAATATGCAACAAACATACTCTTCTGTGTTTAAGAACCGGACGCCACACTGCCATGAACCGCATTTTAAGGGTGTAAAGCCTTTCCAATAACAGAATATGCGAAAAAACATTCATGAAATAACACCGAACACACACACAAAAAACCCAAATAAGCTGGTTATTGCGGTAATGGCGAAGAAAATTGTATAAATAATTTTCGCCTGGGGTTGAAAAGTCATGAAATGTGAGCAGTCATAATTTACACGTACATACATATGTTTCTGCATAATTATCGACAACACGTCGCGAAAAAATAACAAGCGCGATAATTTTTTCACGAATGTTATGTTGGTTTTCGCAGTTATAGTTATTTATGTACGAGTGCTTTATTTGGTTAGCGGTTTGGGTGTTATGAGTCATTATGTGTGAAATGTGAGAGCAGTGGAAATAATATTGAACAGCGTGTAAGTTGAAATTTCAATGTTGCTGTAGCTTTTTTAGCGTTTGTAAAATGCATTGAGTTGGAAAAGTGCTACGAATTCCCATTGATTCATTGAAAATTTCATAATTGTTGTGTTAAAAGCACCCATGCTTTGTTTTTTTTCACGAAGTTTGAGTTTGCCTATGAATGATAAGGTTATAAAAGTCGAGTTAAGATTAAATTTCAGATTTGAAATACTGATTTTAATTTAAGCGGTTATATCCACTTGCAAGTCAGAAAAAATGTACTTGTACTTCTTTGTCATTTTTTTTATAGTTGTTTAATAATAATAAAATTTGTATTTACGATTTGTGTTTTCGTAGCTAATCTCTCTCGGAGGACCTCCGAAAAAAGTTGTCTGGCGGCGAGCAAGATTTTTCATCTTCAAATTATCTGAAATCCAAAAACAAAAAAAAAATTTTTTTCAATAATTATTACATTAAATATATTTATTTTTCATAATTTTTTTTTATATCAAATTATAAATAATTGTGTTTCAAATTATAATATTTATAATTATATAAATTATAAAATATAAATAAAAATTTATAAATTTTAAAACATTTTCTTTTATTTATCTTTGGCAAATGAAAAAGTTGTTGCTTATCTTAATTTGGTTAATTTTAATAGTATATATTTTATTTTTTAATATAATTTTAATGTAACTTTGGAAAGCTATTTTAAAATTTATTTTTAAATTCTTCCCATTATTTTTATGTTTATATTTTTCCATTTACTTATTTTTTTATGTTATATTTTATTTTTTTTCATTAAAATTTAAAGTTTCATTTATCTTTGTGTAAGCTTTTTGACAATATTAATATAATTAATTTTTATATAATTAATTGTCTAAAAATATATCTTGAATTATTTATTTTTCTGCTTTTTTTATTATTTTTTTCGAAATATGTATATATATTTTATTTTATATATTTTTTTCATTAAAATATAAAATTTGATTTATCTTTATGTAAGCTTTTTGTCAATATTAATCAATATAAATAATATTTATATAATGAAATGTCTAATAATATATTTTAATTTATTTATTTTTTCGAAATATGTATATAACTTATGTAATTATATTTTATTTTTTATTTGAAATTTTTTTGTTATTATATAATTTTATTAAATTTTTATTAATTAAAATTGATTAATTTATTTCATATTGAATTTTTTTTTGACATTATTAATTTGTTAAATATGTTTATTTTGTTTAATAAAATATTTAATACTTTTTTATTGATTTATTTAACATTTCCATACGACATTATTTTCGTTTAAATATGTTTTATATTTTTTTCAATTTATTTTAAATTCCACCATTATTTTACTTAAAAAACCTGCCCAAGATATTGAGTCAGCTTTATACAATAACCGCAATGCTTTATTTTTATTTTCTACTTGCAGATGGTTTTTCACCAACAACAACGGCAATATCAGTAACACCAACCAGGGACTTATCAGCGGTCACTTCCAAGTCCGCAACTCAAGTAGCTACAACAACAACCAAAGTGAGCAAACTAACAGCAGAGCAAGAACAAGTATACCAATACCAACAAAAGCATGCAACGGTAATCACAGCTGAGCAACAGCAAACACATCAAATGAGCGTGATAATGAAAATGCCAACGGCAACGGCAACGGCCGCAGCATCATCTCCCACAGCCTCGGGCACAATCGTTTCACCAATACCGCGCGCATCAAAGCGCAACTCACCAGAAAAGTCTGAAAGAATTCTATTTGGGGGTCATTACACGACACCGCCGCAGCCGGGGAAAGAATATCGCGAGAGCGCCGATGATCGCGACAGCGATTGGGATGCACGCAGGCAAATGTTGTCTCCAACAACAACAGCAGCAGCAATAAGTGGTATAACAACAATAACTCTTGATTTTTATTATATAATTTTATTTTATTTTTATTAATTAAAATTCATTAATTTATTTCTTTTTTAATTTTTTATTTTTAATTAGTGAATATAATTATATGTTAGTTTTGTTTAATACTTTTCATTTATTTATTTAATATTTTCATACAACATTATTTTCGTTTAAATATGTATTAATTTTTTTTTCCATCTCCACACAGCCTCAGGCACAATCGTTTCACCAATACCGCGCGCATCAATGCCCAACTCACCAGCAGGCAGCAACAATAGCTCGCCACATAGAGAAAAGTCTGAAAGAATTCTTCTCGGGGGTCATTACACGACACCGCCACAGCCGGGGAAAGAATATCGTGAGAGCGGCGATGATCGCGACAGCGATTGGGATGCACGCAGGCAAATGTTGTCTCCAACAACAGCGATAAGTGGTATAACAACAATAACACCACTACACAAAACTATAGCGACAATACCAAAGCAAAGATCAGCATATTCACCGGTGAAGAATGCTTCTTCAGCTGCAGCCAAAGAATCCGTTTCGGCCCATACAAATCAGCTAGTGAGCGAGCAGAGAGGTAGCACAACAACTCGTTTAACAGGTACAACTGGCACAGCGGCGCTGAGAGCGGAGCTGCAGAGCACAGCTGGTGGTGATGGTAGCGGTGGCGGCAGTGTTAGCGCCTACGGTATCGACGATGATACCAACACTCCATATAACATCTCAGCTGTTGGTGCTGACAGTGGTCATGGCGATGGCGAAGAAGGTATGGTAGACGAAAAGCAGGAAAATGAAACAACAACATACAGAGCAACCGCAGCTGAGAGCGGTGGTGAAGTGCATACAACAACAGGCAGGCAAATACCATCCACAATGTCGGGCTCGCCAACTAGAGCGAATGTGAGTGTAGCGTCGCCACAATCGCCCAAATTAGTCGCTGCACAAGCGGCTCAGTCTCAGCAATCGCAACAGTTTCATTCGAAGAACGAACGCGAACGGACGTACACGGAACAGCGCGGTGCGTCAACGTCGTCGTCGGCCGGGTTTAATAGTAATACAAATACAATAACCAAAGTGCAAACACAAGAAAATACCACTATAAGCAACAATAGACATTATAACGCCTCAACTAGCTCGTATTCGCCCTCCAATTACGCGATCCCACAACAACAGAATAACAGTGGTGGTAGTGGTAGTGGAAAAATCTTTTCGAAACTACACAATAATCAGTTCATAAAGAATCAACAGCAGCAGCATCAACAACTGCAGCAGACCGGCGCGCAACCGAGCACCGCAACACAATCGAATATTACCGCACGTTATCTGAAATATAAGTCGCAAGCAGCGCATGCGCAGGAATCTGGAAACGGCAGTGAAACTGGTTCGACAAGCACCAACTACTCAGGTTCGCCAACCAAATCGTTTGTGGCACCCACTGCAAGTGCAATCAAAAAGAAAATGGTTGCCGTGCAGGAAATGAAGAAAACGACACAACCAAGTGGTAATCATGGACAACTGCATTCGCACCGCACACACCACAATCATCAACAGATGATTAGCGCTGGTGGCGGCGGTACATGTGCGCGTACAGCGTTGAGCGGTGGACGCGCACAGCCACCCAGCCAAACGGACGAGGTCAACTTCGATCCGGCCGAGGATCTCAGCTATGGACCGGGTATTGTGTCGAAGTTGCGTTGCCGTTACCTTAGTCTCGCATTTCGCGAATCCATGGAAAAGGAGCGCCATTGTTTGGATAATATGCGTCGCGCTACAAGCCTCAATAATTTACTTGATCGTGAGGAACCACACGATGACGATGAGCCCGAAGATGATTTGGACAGTGGTGGTGCCGTCGATGTGGAGACGCATGAAGTTGAGGAATATGTGGAGTTACGCGCTGATGCGGATAGAACACTAAACAACGAACGCAAATTGAAAACACAGGGTGGCATATTGAAGCACAGCGGCGATGCTGCTACACAAGACAACACCAAAAAGACAACCACTTTTCAGAAAAATGCAAACGCTTTTGCTGCGAACGGCACGCGTTTGCTAAATTCGGCACCGGTCGGCAGCGCAGGCGGCGCGGTATCGTCAGCCAACGTCGCGATGCCCGATACACCGCGTTCGCGTCACGTCAAACGCGGTAATGATTCGTTAAAACGCGCGCGTTCGGTTGAAGCATTGCTCTGTGAACGTTCACCTTGGCAATATACGGCGCTCAATCGCACCAGCTATCAGCCACAACATTTCACATCTGGCGGTAGTCAAACTTATGCGACAACGCAGCCGACTTGTGTGACTATCGAGGATAAAATAAATAATGCACGTAGCCGTCTAATACTCGGCACCGATATAATGCCACCGAAGCGTTTAACCTCAGTGATTGATGATACGGAGCGACCACCACCAGATTTGGTAAAGCAAACATTAAAGAAGTTCGAAGCGACGGCCAACCGGCGCGGACGCGGGCCAAATCGCACGAACGGCACCGGCGAAGTTGCCAGCAAAGTGGCTACGTACAAGACAATCATAAAGGAGAATAAGCCTGCAATAGTATTTCCAAAACCACCGCTTAGTCCCACCAAGAAATTAAATTCGCCACTGTTAACGAAGCCATTGGCCAAACCAGTTGTGGGCGCTAATGATTTGCTCAACAGTCCGTTAGGGCGCAAAACCACTGCCGCAGCCGCTGTCAATGCTCCTGCGGTTGTGACTGGAAAGACGCAAGCTGCGACCTCAAACCACGGCGCAGCAAGCGCAGTCGCTAGCGGCTTATCAGAGAACTCACCCGATATCATTCCAAGGCATAAGCTTTTAACGGAAAAGAGCGAAACGTTATTGCATGGGGTTGCCGATTCGCCAGTGACAGCTTTAACGAAAAAGCTCGAAAAGCTGCGCATTGACGCGGCCGATAAACAACAACAGCAGCAGCAGCAGCTGCAAACGATACCAACAAAGGAGGCGAAACAGCCAGCACAGTTGAATAAGCAGTCACAACACTCGGCACTCGTAGTAAGCAGCAGCGACAACGAATTCGTCAATAGCAGCGAGTTAAATAACGACAACAATGCTAGTAATAGCAGCCAACTTGTGGGTGGCGCTGAGGAGGGTGAAGCGGCGGCCGTTAGTGACGCAGCCCTCGAAGGCAACGAAAATGGCAATAACAACAAGCACACAGCAGCGTCGACGAAACAGCATACTGATCGTGCGGGCACGGGCACTGGTATTAGCGCTAGCGGCGAATCAGCCGTAGAACCCGATACAGCACAAGCAGGAACCGCTGCTATTAGTAGTGATCTTAGCGACGACGACGACGGACTGATTGGTATTGCCGCCGCCGCACCCACAAAACGTATAACACGTACAGCACTCGATAATATCGCACGCGCGGGCACAACACAACAATTCAAATTCGCAGGCAGTGGACAAACGAATATCGGCAGCAAAGCAACAGTTGAGCTGACAAAATCGAAACCGCAAACAAACTTGAATCCCGATATACCCACGTCGGTATTGAACGCTGCGCCTGGTAAGCAAATCGGTGTCATACGCCCTTTACCCACCACCACAGCCGCACAACAGGCGGCCAACGCGAATACGACAAACTCGGCATTTTCGCATCAACAACAATTGTTGCAACAACATTTGGAAGCATTAAAACAAAATAACGTTTACAACAACACGTCATCAACGCCCACCAGCGCTACCAACGCTACAGCAACACATTCCTCAATTTATCATAGCACACCGCCGCTGACGAGCCGCGAAATCGAAAAGAATCGTATAAATGAAATGAAGAAAACGGTCGCATTAGCCGATGGTAGTCCAATAACAGCTACAATGGTCAACGCCAGCAACAATGCCACTACACCCGCCGCACAGCATGCCGCAAATGCTAGTCTAAATACCGTGATAAATACCAATGCGCCAGGTCATAAGTCTAACAACGCTGGCGCTACATCGTCAACAGCGCCAATTGTTGGCGGTAGCTCCGGCACTTCCGGTTTCAATGAGCTGGATGCGGCAGCGCAAGGCGCTAATAATAGTCCCTTATGGGCGTTACGCATTAAACGGCAGACACCGAGTGTGGCACAGGAGAACACATCGATGGTGTTCAACTTCTCCAATCGCAAAGAGGTGCCCGATTATATTGAGAATGACGGTGTGATCTTTCGCAGAAAACGTGAATTGCCCAAGGTGAGTGTACCGACTACGTAAATATGTAGTGGTGTGGTAGGGAAGGTGAACAAGAAGTAGTAGTGGAAGAAGCACACAAGAAAAGAAGTGAACAAAGTTGGTTCATGAGTTAAAATAGAAAAAACAAAAAAATTATAATAAAATAAATAGAAGTTGTGTGCAAGGCAACAGTGCTCTGGAAGAAAGAAAACTAAGCGAATGCCAAGTAAAAGAAGTGACGACGTGTAGTGTGGAAAGAAGCAGCGCACACTGCCAAAGAAACGAAGTTACGTGACTACGTGTGTGTGTGTGTTTGTGTATGCGTGTGTATGTAATCTATTGTAAATAAAGGTATATATTAAAGAATATATATATATGTATAGAATATATAATTTATAAATAGCAAGAGCAGCTGTACAAAAACAAAACACAATAACAACCACATAAAGCTGATTGTGTGCTGCAACGTGCATAAAAGCGAAAGAGTGAAGTGTACTCGGCAATAAAGTGAAGTTTTGCGCTGACGAAAGACAACACTTACACATACAAAAAAAAAAAATACATAGCTCAGTGCATATGCATGTGTGTTAACCCCATAGCTATCTTATATATGTACATGCTTAGTGGCCAAGGCTTGTAAGTGAATTGAAAGAAAGAAATATAGATAATGAGCGATTAGTTTAAAGTTTGAACGTTTGCCAGAGTTATAATAATTCAAACAAATAATTAAAAAGTCACAAAAAAAACAAAAATTAACAGTAAAAAAACGAAGATTAACAGTTAAAACACTTTTACAGTAAAAAAAATCGAAAAATAACAGTTAAAAATTTTTACAATAACAAAAATCGAAAATTCACAATTAAAAAATGTAAGAGTCAAAAATCGAGAATTCACAGTTAAAAAATGTAAGAGTCAAAAAATCAAAAAATTAGCGCTTAATAAAATTTAACAGTACAAAAAATCGAAAATTAACGGTTAAAAAATTTAAGATTCAAAATATCGAAAATTCACAGTTAAAATATTTTACAATAGCAGAAATCGAAAATTAAAAGTTAAAAAATTTTACAATAACAAAAATCGTAAATTAACAGTTCAAAACTTTTAAAGTCAAAATATCGAAAATTAACAGTTGAAAAAATTTAAGAGTAAAAAAAATCGAAAATTAACAGTTGAAAAAATTTAAGAGTACAAAAAATCGAAAATTAACAGTTAAAAATTTTAACTCTAAAATTACAACTTTAAAAAATTCAAGAGTCAAAAACATCGAAAATTAGCAGTAAAAAAAATTCAGCACTCAAAATAAAATCGAAATAAGTCGTAAAAACATGCTTTACTACTACTGCTACTACTTCTCTTTCCTCCACACTGCTACAAGCACAACCACTGATAAAATAGCTAAAGAAAACCAGTTTAATATTAAATTTTATGCATAAAATTTTAGTATGTAGTAGAAAAACCACATACCATAAAATAATATCTATGAACAGCTTAAACAAATTAAAGCGTGTTTTCAAAATATTTTGGCTGCGCGATCAATCGATTATTTTTTTTTATTTTTTCTTACAAGAGCGGCTCATATCATAAAACGCACTTCTACTATAAAGTTAAAAGTTAGTTTTTCTAAACGTGCGCCCATGTGCTTGCTTCTAGATACTGCAATTAAGCCCTTTCTTATGTCAAATATGGCACTTAAATGATCGTGTTATATGCTAGCTTGTATATCACTTGTGATATCTTTCAATTTTATGAGAGCGTTAGTATTTTTTTTAACGACGTGTTAGTGCATTTTTTCTCGGTTTTCGAATTTATTTTTATGTATGTGAATGCTAAATTGCTAAGCAGACAACAAATAATATCTTTTAGAGTTTAATTAGAGTTGGTCTATGATTAATTACAAACCCTTACCGAATTTAGAAACAATATCTTGTCACATGTCAATTGAATAAATGATATGCTGTTATACAGCAAGTCAGCGCTGATTGATACCCACGTGCTATACTTAATTCTTTGAAAAACCTGCTAATATAACTTCTGTTGTTCACTTTCTTAACTTAAAAGCTTAAAGCATTCAAAGCTTGAAATATGCTTTAACTTCAAATCTATTTTTAGCTTTGCTCTCGTCATTCCTTTGTGATCAGACTTAGTCTTGTTACGATCAATTGTTATTACTTAAATATATTTAAACGTATATTCAATCTTCCAACTTGTCTGTTTGTACCATTTCGAATTGTAACCTCCAAAATAATATTTGCTATCTCTTAATCTCCCTTCACTGCTTCTAATAGTCAAATATTATATACTTTCTGTCTCTTTATTGCGCTTATTCTCTGTTAATAGTTAAAATATGCATTCAAAAATATCCGTTCTGCTGATTTGAAAGTCTAAAACATGTTTATTTGCCTTTTTTGTATTTAGTCTGCTAACTTTTGGGTAATCCTTCATATTCTTTTGCTTATGTCTAGCATATCTTTGCGGTTTAAATGCATAATCTATTGATCAATTTTTCTAAATAATCAGCGTGATTGTTTGATTGACAATTCCTACATTATCAACTATTAAATCCCCAAAAACCTGTTTTGTATAAATCGCTTAACAGATTTTAGTAAACTGAATGTTCCGTGCGATTTGCATAAGACCGATCGATTGTCTTATAGCATATTATGGTAAATCTAAGACACATGTATACCATATGTCTGATTTTTTATTTGACTTTCATTCTACGTTGTTCTTTGAATAAAAAGTGGAGAATTTTTGGTAATCAGGTTTTACTTGTTGTCGAAGCTATTTTACTGTTAGAAACTACTTTTGTTCTCGTTAAAAAGTATATTTTAATTTGGTGATACTCATTCGAACTTCCCTGACTTTTTTCTGATTGTTCTCACATCGATCATTTTTTTCGACGTTCACCAATACTTAACTTTACTGTTGCTCGTTCGGTACTTTTACTTCGGTTGATCTCTAGTCGATCGTTTAATACTTTGCTGTTGATTTTCAGTCAATTATTTGAAAATTCTTATATTTGTCTATGATTTATCATTACAAACTCTTTGTTTCTCATACCCTGTTGTTGCCACAGCTTTATTAATTTAGCTGAACTCATGTTTCACTTTTTTTCTAACTGATCTACTGTATGAATAAAGCATATAAAATGTTACTGTATCAATAAAGTATACAGTATCTTAAAAGTTTATTGTTATTTGATCGGAGAGGGAACCTCTATTGTTTTGTAAATTATTTACCTACTAACTGTTTAAATTGAACGCGTATACTTTTAGTGATCAGCAGTGATTTGTTATTCAAATATTAAGGAGCTTTGCTTTTGTGTAGTACATTTTTGCTAATTTCAGTCGATTTTCACACATATTTTTAGCTGAGCTGTCGTGAAAAAGTCATTCTGAATGTGTAAATTCATTGAATATTTGATATTTTAATTAATTTTTTATTTTATTTTACAAAATCGATTTTGTATTATTTTTTTTTTTAATCCATCTTCAATCGGTCGTCCAAAATTTGTAATATTTGTCGATCTTTGCACAATATTTTGCTTCTTATTTGTGATTCTTGTTATCGGTACATTCGCAATTCTTAGGTCTTTTGCTTCTTACTTTTGACTGTAGCTCAATTTTTATTATCGATTGTAAAAAAAAAAATCTTACTGATCTTCTATATGCATGTTCGTGAATTGATCGTCGGAAATTTTTGCTCCTCACCTGCGTAAATGTGTGACCACCCTGTGGCAAATCTATGACCATTCAGCCGTCAGCAGTTATCGAACGTCAACATCCTGATAAAACGTTTCTTTAACTTTCATAAGCACCAACCATTTTTATTCTATTTATATACGTACATATTTAAGTATCTTATCAACATAAATACTAATTTCTTTTTCGATTTCCTGTGTTGCAACCGACGCCATGTCTCATGCCATGAATAAATATATCGCAATCAATACAATAAAAAAACATTGCTTTTAATTTTCACTTGCGATCGTGGCATAATTTTTATTCTCGATTGTTAAAAAATTTACCTAGAAAGCATTCTTTATATCTTACTGAACTTCAGTATTTATGATTCTAAGTTTTTCTTTGGTTTTTTTTTTTTTTTTCAGCAGGTTTTTTAATTAGACTAGGAGACTCTTATATACTTAATATTAATTAAATTATTTGAACGCTACAATATCATGCATTATAGGATCACCAGTTCTCTTCTTTATATAATGAGTGATCTAAATATGATTGCTAATTTAATAATTTATATTATAATTCGATATTCTGTAGCTTCTGAGTAAACCACACTCGTTCAAAATTTGTTTACCTTTTATTTACTCGCCAGTTATTTGTTGCTTTTCAAGTGTCATTTGTGAGTCATCTGGTTTTTTCTGCTGAAAAGTGTTTATTATTTGGTACACTACCTAAGGGTTAACTGGCATATGCCGCTATCTTTGCTTTTCAATAAGTTGCTTTGCATTATTTGCACACGAATGCAGCGAAAATACCGCGCATTGACTACTTTTGCTAGAGACCTCAGCTTGTCAGAGCTGATTTTGTTATATTATTTATATTGTTGCACTTACACTTGTGCAACATGGCTTGTATGGATGTGTGCGTCTGCTTGAACAGCATTTTTTAAACACACTACCGCTCCAGGGGACGCAGTTATTATTAAGCATTATTTATGTTGTTTACCTTGAACGGAAGGAAAATGCTCAGCGTTCAATGCATATTCGTACAGATACCTAAGGTAAATAAATACTATATATCGGGGTATGCGTGTTTTGCTGTTTGCTCACGCGGTTTTCAGCATATGTATGTATGTATGTTCCTTTATTATTTCCTTATATGCTTTATTTGTCAGACGGAATATTTCTATGTGCGTGTGTGCGAGACAAAGAAACGCAATGTGTTTTGGTAGGAAAGAAATATATACCCAAATCAAGTGTTTCTTCCTGTTTCGACTAGACTTTTTCCAGCGAGCAGCGCATATTTACCTACTAGATACATACATACATACACACATAAATA